AAAATAAAAATATAAATAATAATAATAATACAAATAAATGAAAAGAAATTTAAATAAATAATAAGAAATAAAAAACAAACAAAAAAAATAATAAAAATGTAAAAATGGATAAATGACAAAGATGAGATGAATTGATGTGTATCATAAATAAGGGTGATATGAAATCACTTCATTCAGTCCGTTGGGGGAAACGGTGTTGAGCTCATAGATCCAGAATGTCTCTTTCCTCAATAACAAATTATCCCGGTCCCAGCCACATTGTGGTTATGGTATGTGATCTATTGCCACAAATGTAAGAGTTGCAAGAGGATGTTTCTTCTCCAAAAAATGTTTAGCGACCGGCTTATCAGAGGAGCCATCTCGGTATGCTGTTCTGATGTTAGATCTGTGGTGGTGGGTTTACCGATATAAGCAAGTCCCCATGGGCAAGATATCTTATAAATGACATGTGTTGTCTTGCAGGTAGTAGTGTGACGAATATTATATTGTTTGTTGTTGTGAGGATGGTTAAATGTACGTGACGGGCAATGTGGCCGCAAGTGACACAACTAAGGCATCTCACGCTACCCCTGACTTGTATAGTCAATTTGGGTTGATAGCATATCACTGGGTCTGTCTTAACCAGCATGTCACGCAAATTTTTATTACGTCTATGGCATATCATAGGTGGCTCCTTGAAAACTTTGGGTAATGTGTCGTAAGAAGACACCATTTTCCAATTGTTTTTGACAATGTTAGAAATCAGTGGAGATTTGTTGTGATAGGTCATAGGGAATACCATCCTGGGGGTCGTAGAAGGGCTTTTTGGGGCGTGTGCATTCTTTGCCTTCTGTAACGCTGCTGCCAAATTTTGTCTACTATACCCACGTTCAAGGAATTTGTTGGTCATATCAGTGATTTGGATTTGCCTGAGATGGTCCTCGGAGTTATTGCGAATGACTTGACAGTATTGAGCATAAGGGATAGATTTGATCAAGGACGTTGGATGGGAACTGCCGTGATGTAAAATTGTATTGCGATCAGTGGGTTTAGAATATAGGCTGTATGCCACTTTATTATCCAAGATCTTGAGTTCCAAATCTAGGAAGTGAACTGTCTCACTGCTGATATTTGCTGTAATCCGTACTGGAGATGCAAGGCCATTAGGGTGTTCAACCATCGTATAGGCCTGTTTTTCATTTCCATGCCATATAATGAACAAGTCGTCGATGTAAGGAAAATAACTGGTTATAAATTGTTGGAATGAAGAAAAAAATATACACACATATATATACACATACATACACTGCTGTCTGTGTGTGTGTGTATGTGCTGTGTGAGGGTGTTGTGTGTGTAAGGGTGCTATGTGTGATGGTGCTGTTTGTGTGCTGTGTGTGAGGGTGCTGGTAGTGTGCTGTGTGGGTGTTTGTGTGTGTGTTTGTTAAGGTTCTGTGTTTTTAAGGTGTGCTGTGTGAGGGTGCTGTGTGAGGGTGCTGTGTGTGGGTGTTGTGTGTTTGTGAGGGTGCTGTAAGAGTGCTGTTTGTGTAAGGGTGCTATGTGTGATGGTGCTGTTTGTATGCTGTGTGTGAGGGTGCTGGTAGTGTGCTGTGTGGGTGTTTGTGTGTGTGTTTGTTTTTGCTGTGTGGGAGGGTGTCGTGTGTGTGTGTGTTTGTGAGGGTGCTGTTAGTGTACTGTGTGTATGTGTGCTGTGTGTGTGAGGGTGCTGTATGTGTGTAGGTGCTGTGTGTGTGTGTGTGTGAGAGTGCTGTTTGTGTGTTGTATGTGTGTGGGTGCTGTGTGTGTGTGTGTGTGTGTGTGTGCTGTTTGTGAGGGTGTTGTTTGTGTGTGAGTGTGCTAGGGCAGCACAAAAAAAGGATACACCACTGGGTCCAGTGGAGAGTGAACTCTAGCCTGCGGGCTAGAGTTCACTCTCACGAGATCTGAGCGTTTCCACGGCAACGCTCAGATCTCGCGAGAGGAACCCGGCGGAGCTGCTGGCTAGAGCTCCCTGGGTCCTCTCCTGCCTCCCTCCATGCTGCTGTGGGATCTCCCCACCAGCCCATGGAGGCTTAGAGCAGAGATCTCCCCTGCCGGTCTCAATCTCCCCTGCCGGTCTCAATCCATAGGTGTGCCCCAGCTTATTACTCTAACCCAATTAGCTAAGCCCTGTACCCCTAGGCTGGCTCAGAGCAGAGAGTTTCCACCTCTCAATGGAAGAGGTAACTAGTACCCAGCAAACCCCAGGTAAGTCATAAAACCTTTAGCTAGAAGTTTTACTACTTACTCTGGGGAGCACAGTGCAATCCTTGCACCATTACCACTACAGTCTTTAGATTGTAAACTCATTTGAGCAGTGCCCTCTTTACCTAATGTTCTGGTATGTCATACATGTGTTGTTAAAATGAAATATTTGTTTTGTTTCCTATTTGTACAGCACCCAAGGACGTATTAGCCGCGAGGCAAAAAAGGCATTTGCCTTGGGCGGCATTTTTCAGGGGGCGGCAAAAAACGCCACCCCCAAATGCCCAGGGCAAATGCCTTGTTTGCCTCGCGGCTAACAGACATGCCGAGCGGGCGGTGCTGGCTGCTGTGCAGGCGGCTGGCGAGGGAGCACTTCCTCTGGGCGGTCTGCTCAGCTCCCTCGCGCTGCCCACAGAGTGAGGGTGGGAGCCGGGTTGATGACGTCACATTCCGGCTCCCAGCCTTACTCTGCGGCGCGTGAGGGAGCTGAGCAGACCGCTCAGAGGAAGTGCTCCCTCGCCAGCAGCCCGCCCATCAGCCCAACCAGCAGCCACTGGACCACCAGGGAGAAAGAGAGAGAACCTCCCCCCAGCACTCCCAAAGGTAAGGAGGCTGGGGGGGGATTAAAAAAAAAGTTAATGTGAGTGATTGTGTGTGACTGTGTGACTGTGTGTGTGTGACTGTGTGTGTGTGTGTGTGTGACTGACTGTGTGTTTGTGTCTGACTGTGTGTGTGTCTGACTGTGTGTGTGTCTGACTGTGTGTGTGTGTGTTTGTGTCTGACTGTGTGTGTGTGTGTTTGTGTCTGACTGTGTGTGTGTGTGTGTGTTTGTGTCCTGTGTGTGGCGTGTTTGTGTCTGACTGTGCGTGTTTGTGACGTGTTTGTGTCTGACTGTGTGTGTGTGTCTGACTGTGTGTGTGTGTGTGTGTGTGTGTGTGTGTGTGTTTGTGTCTGACTGTGTGTGTGTGTGTTTGTGTCTGACTGTGTGTGTGTGTGTCTGACTGTGTGCGTGTGTGTGTCTGACTGTGCGTGTGTGTGTCTGACTGTGCGTGTGTGTGTTTGTGTCTGACTGACTGTCTGACTGTGTCTGACTGTGTGTGTTTGTGTCTGACTGTGTGTTTGTGTCTGACTGTGTGTGTGTGTGTGTTGTGTCTGACTGTGTGTTTGTGTCTGACTGTGTGTGTGTGTGTTTGGGTGTGGGGGAGGGTTGGGTGGGGGTGGGGGGGGGGGGTGTCTGGGTTTTGTCCTGCCTAGGGGGCGGCCTGGAACTCAGGATACACCACTGACAGCACCATGGAGTCTATGGCGCTATATAAATAATTATGATTGTTACAGTTAATAATATTTCTCTGCACTATCATAAATCACTGTGCACATTTAAATAACTGGAAGTTTTTAGTATCACCTCAGTGGCCATTAAAGTGTAAGCTCACCTGTCACGTGAAGGTAAACCTGGCAGGTGAGCTTACACTTAAAGCCTCCAGTTTTTTAAATGTGCATAGCGATTTTTTTCTATGTATTGGAACTGATGTGTACTATAGTTTTTGCTGCCGCCTAGGAGTAGTGGGAGTTTATGGGCAGGGCTTAGTTTTGTTTGTTTATAGTTAAAAATATGCATTTAAATGCTTATCACGGTGGACACACTGTACGTGTGTGGCTATTGCTGTGATCCACCATTACAATATGTCTTTATGAGAAGCACACGGCACACCGATAGTGTCCAGAATCAACATATATTGCGTGCTGACACTGGGCATAGAAAAAGATCCAACAGCTAATTTATTTTAGATGGTCTCCCCTGGTGTAACTGCCTGATTGACATCCAATAAGGTGTATGGATTGAAAAAGAGAAAAAACTATGTCATTTCTGAGAAACAGCACTGTTTCCAATCATGAAACTGCATGGGGGATTTGATATATGCAACAACATCACTTAATTTTGGTGCCTAAACTGTCCATCTAAGGTTTCTAAAATGTTGCAGTGTTGAGATTGCATAACACCATTTTAAAGCTTGCGTTACATGGGGTTATGTTTGTTATGATTGGAGTGTCCTAACTTCATCACTAATGAGAATATTTAACTTTTCTTGATCAAACCCTTTATTTTCTTACCTGATCCCAGTGCTGAGTCTCCTCCAACATCACTTAACGAGAGGACGCTAATGCGCATGCATGGCAAATGCTACGGGTGCATTAGGCCTTCCAATAGGAAAACACTGAATCAATGCTTGTGTGTCTCTGTGTGGGTGTGTATATATATAAATATGAATGTGTTTAGTAGATAGCTCCTTTATTTGGTGTCCTTAAATATGGCAATCCCACATAAGGATAGCAAATAGGCAGGGCCGGCGCGTCCATAAGGCGGCACAGGCGGCCGCCTTAGGGCGCACCGGCTCTGGGGGCGCAAAATTCCAGTGACCGGCAGGAGGGAAGTGCTCCCTCCTGCCAGGTCACCTCCTGGATCCCCGGCGCGGCGTGCGGCTGCATTGGATGCCGAGGGAGCTCTGATCTCTCTGATCTGCTCCCTCGCAGGCTGCTGACTGATGACGTCATATTCCGGCTCCCGCGGCATCAGTAAGCAGCCTGCGAGGGAGCACATCAGAGAGATCAGAGCTCCCTCGCCACCTAGGAATCCAATTCAGCCGCAAGCCTCCCAGCAGCCCCACTGGACCACCAATGAGAGACCCACGCCAGCTCTCCAGGTAGGGAGGCTGGGTGGGAAATTTAAATTTAATTAAGATTTTTAATTTCTGTGTGTGTGTGTGCATGTGAGTATGTGAGTCTGCCAGTGTGTGTGTGACTATGTGAGTTTGTGTGTGTGTGTGTGAGTGAGTATGTCTGTCAGTGTGTGTGTGAGTGAGTGTGTCTGTCAGTGTGTGTGTGAGTGAGTGTGTCTGTCAGTGTGTGTGTGAGTGAGTGTGTCTGTCAGTGTGTGTGTGAGTATGTGTGTCTGTCAGTGTGTGTGTGACTATGTGACTGGTTGTGTGTGTGTGAGTGAGTGTGTGTGTCTGTCCCAGTGTGTGTGTGACTATGTGAGTTTGTGTGTGTGTGTGTGTGTGTGTGAGTATGGCCTCTGTCCAGTGTGTGTGTGTGTGTGTGAGTGAGTGTGTCTGTCCAGTGTGTGTGTGTGTGTGTGAGTGAGTGTGTCACAATGGGTGTGTGTGTGAGTATGTGTGTCTGTCAGTGTGTGTGTGACTATGTGACTATATGAGTTTGTGTGTGTGTGTGTGTGTGTGTGTGAGTATGTCTGTCAGTGTGTGTGTGTGAGTATGTGTGTCTGTCAGTGTGTGTGTGAGTATGTGAGTGTGTGTGTGTGTGTGTGTGTGTGTGTGTGTGTGTGTGTGTGTGTGTGTGTGTGTGTGTGTGTGTGTGTGTGTGTGTGTCTGTCTGTGTGTGTGTGAGTATGTGTGTCTGTCAGTGTGTGTGTGTGCATGTGAGTATGTCTGTCAGTGTGTGTGTGAGTATGTGTCTGTCAGTGTGTGTGTGTGCATGTGAGTATGTCTGTCAGTGTGTGTGTGAGTATGTGTGTCTGTCAGTGTGTGTGTGAGTATGTGTGTCTGTCAGTGTGTGTGTGTGCATGTGAGTATGTCTGTCAGTGTGTGTGTGCATGTGAGTATGTGTGTGTGAGTGTGTGTGTCTGTGTGGTTCTGTCAGTGTGTGTGTGTGTGTGGTTCTGTCAGTGTGTGTGTGTGAGTATGTGTGTCTGTCAGTATGTGCATGTGCACATGTGAGTACGTGTGTCTGTCAGTGTCTGTGAGTTTGTGTGTGTGTGTGTCAGTGTGTGTTTTTCAATGAGTCTGTCAGTGTGCGTGTGAGTGTCTGTCAATGAATGAGTGTGTCAGATAAGTGAGTCTGGCTGTCAGAGATGTCTGTGTGTTTGTCATTGAGTGTGTGTAACTGTCAGTGTTTATACACCCCTGACTGTAGCGTGGCCAAGCGGAGTGTACCGTGGTACAGGAACTTCTGTTTCCTGTACCTGGCAGAACTTACAGGAAAAGCTCACTGTACCGGGATTCGCTCCGCTCAGCCACGCTACAAAAAAAGGTAGGAGGCACACCAGAAAGGGGAGGGGACCACTATGGGGGTGGGTGGCGCACCAAGGGACAGGGAGAGGAGGGGAGAGATATCCTAAGGTACAGGAAAAGGAGGGAGGGGGGGAGAGGAACACTAAGCGACAGCCAACAGATGGGGGAGGGGAGAGGAACACTAAGGGACAGGGAAAGGAGGCGGGAAGGGAAAGGAACAGTAAGGGTCAGAGAAGGGAGGGGACCAGTAAGGGACGGGGAGAGGGGCCGGATGTGAAAGAAACACACAGCGGGGCTTGAGAAGGAAAGAGACACACACAAAGGAGCTGGGAAGAATAAAAGACACAAATGGGCTGGGAGAAAAGGAGTCACACAAAGGGGCTGGGAGGAGTAAAACACAAAATGTGGGAGGATGTAAGAGTCATACAAAGAGGAGAGATAGGAGACACACAAAGGCAAAAATAGGAGATAAAATACACTAAAGGGAGTCAGATATTTAAAAGACGGGATAAGAAACACAAAAGGGAGGTTAAGAGGCACATGGGTGAAGATGTTTTTGGGGGGGCGGAAAAATGCATCTTCGCCTATGTACCCAAAATTCTTTGCACCGGCCCTGCAAATAGGGGAGTTATCTGATAAACAAAGATCGAAGTTAAGAGAGCCAGCCCAAAACAAGAAATCTACGTGGCTAATGTGAATTATTTACAAATTTGTTGACTGATGTCATCAACACATTACCCCATCCCCTAGTGAAACTTTTTAGTGCCCCTCCCCCCAGTTTTGACTGTGGTATCTTATGTGCCCCTGCCCCCATATATTGTTCCTAGAGTCACCAATGTGTCTGAATGTGTGTCAGTGTATCTGTGTGTGACTATGTGTCTATGTATCTGCATGTGTGTCAGTGTGAATATATGTGTGTATATGTGCATACATCTCAGAATCCCGCCAACACTACACACAAATACACCCATGCATTTCAACATCAACACTACATACAAACCCCACCATTATATACAACCATACCACTGCATTCAAAATCCAACACCACATACAAACACACCCCCTACATTCACTTTTACATACTCCATACAAAAACATTCAAAAACACAAACACTGCTTAGTGCTAAATTAATTTAATTTATTTTTTAAATTTGATTTTTTTTATGTTTTAAAGTTGGTGGGTGGGGGACAGAGTGCATAAAATAGGACCCACCCCGGGTACCAAATGCTCTAGGTATGCCCCTGAGCACAGGGCTTACTTTTGTATCTCTATTTGCTTTTGTATCATACAACTATGTTACAATGCTGGTGCCCACCCTATGTGTTCCCTATTAAGGGCTAATAAGTATGTAGAGGTTTAGAAAAATACCCCTCTCTGTCTCATTAGAGATTACACCTTATAACTAAAGACGGCAAGGTGGATTGTTAGTGTAGGATTCAACAAGAGGTTTGCCTTTACGTGGCAGCTAAGTGTACCCTTAAATTTCCATTGGAGTGATACTAAAAACCTCCAGTTATTTAAATATGCATAAGGATTTGGGATAGTGTGCAGGTAACTTTTAAAAGAAAAAACAGAACAAGATAAAAAACCAGGGACACAGTTCATTCTATTCAACCATATACAGTTGCTACCACTCCCCTTAGTGTTGGTTTGCAAATGTGCAACTCATAGTATATGATGAATGAGGTTGTTATACCAATAATAAATTTGAGATATTTTAAATATCTAAGAGTAAGTACAACCTATTTATCTGCAGTCATCCATAATGCATTAGACATAGTTATAATCTCGAGTGATAAATGTTTATGAACTTAAGAATTCACTTTAAAGCATGTGTTGAATTCAAATTGCCAAACATGGAAAAATAACTTTCACTGCAGGCACTACAAAAGCAGTGTAAAGTACACCGGAAAGCTGTGTACTATAACTCAGGGAAAAACTAGGAGTTAAAGTGAAGCTATGAACTAACATGGATGGTCTCCTATCAATGATCTGATGAATCCCCTTACCTTAACCTTAAAGGGATTCTCCAGTGCCAGGAAAATATATTATTTTTCCTGGCACTGCAGGACTCTGGAGTGCCCCTCTCCCTCCCACCCCCCATCCCAAGTTGCTAAAGGGGTTAAAACCCCATTCAGTGACTTACCGGAGTCCAGTGCCGATGTCCTTCGGCGCTGGTCAGGCTCCGCCTACTCTCCTCCCCCACTGACATCAGCTGGCGGGGGAGACCTAATGCTCATGCACAGCAATGGCCGCGCACGCGCATTAGACCTCAGATAGGAAAGCATTATTTATTGCTTTCCTATGGGGATTTCAGAAACGCTGGAGGTCCTCACATAGCATGAGGACATCCAGCGTCGTAAAACAAACTTTTCGTGTTCTAAGACCATGGAAGTCCCTCTAGTGGCTGTCTGAAAGACAGCCACTAGAAGAGGACTTAACCCTGCAAGGTAAATATTGCAGTTTAGGAATATATTTATATGAATATATTTATATTTATATATTTATAATTACACTTGCAGGGTTAAGGGTAGTGGGAGTTAGCACCCAGACCACTCCAATGGGCAGAAGTGGTCTGGGTGCCTGGAGTGTGCCTTTAAGTAGACACGCAGATTTTAGGCAGTGGAGACATATTAGAAAAAAATCTCCAATCATTCTAGTTTTACATTTTGGACTAAAATGTAAAGTTCTCACCAGTTCTAAACATTCCCAGTATAGCAGATACATTTCGATATCTCACCGAAGATCATTCATACCCTGGAGAACACTTGTTTTAGTAAGTAATTTCAATAATAAAGAGAGTTTGGCAGCATTATCCTCTATTCTTCTAAAGAATGAAATACAGTATTTGTTTGTTTATATGTCTTTTCTGCTCAACTGAGCAATTAGAAATCTAAAAACACAGGAAAACAGTTCCTCGCAAATAAAATAGATTTATTGTGTCTGACAATATATATGAGAAGCGTGGTTGTTAAAGTTAGTTGATGTGATTGGGTTTACCTAATCTAGCTCATAGTGAAAATGTTAATTTATATATACTTAGTAACTGCTGGATTTAAAGCCACCTTAAATATATGAATGGTAATTCAATGCGATAGCTTTGGTCCCTCTAAAAGAACAAAACTGTCTGGAAAATTGCACCCCAAGCTTGTAATTATAACCTTATTAAAGCAATCAGATTGAATCTAGCAATTATACCAACAACATGCTTAGCTACTTCTAGTAATTTTGTAGACAGTGATGTTCTTTTGTAAAACCACAATATATTTTCGCTCTGTCTTAAAATAAGCCCTTCATGCTACTCTGCTTATCTTAGATTGCTTTAATTATATACTCTATACGTATTGTCTTGCTTTCTGTTTTGTGTAAAGGCCACACAAAAATCGTACAAGAACACATATGAAAATGGGATTGTCCATTTTTCTGCTAATACTATTGAACAGAATGTACAATACACCGCTCAAATTAAAAGAAGATACAAACCCTGACACAATTCACTGTTCACGGTTTTGAGATTCTTTTGTGGGGGTGAAGAAATAGTTCAGAAAGAAATTACTTTTGGCACACAAAATGTAATGACCATGTGGGCAACTTTTAGGATAACATTTGCTCACTACATTTTTGCTGAAAAGTTTTGGAAAACTATGATGATATACAGTGATGATATAAAAATTCCTAAACCCTTTTTATGAGAAAAGACGCTCCCATTGTCATCATTTTTGAAACTATATTTAGTTGCCTTCTTGCAAAAATTATTTTTGATGTTAATGTTGTGTTTATTCATGTACGTAGTGGCAAGTAACTAAATAGAGGATTGTTTACCACGAGAGGTCTTCTGGTCTCCGACAGTATCTCACAAATTCTACAACTTCTTTTCACTGCAAAGCTATAATTTTTACACAAGTTATTTGAATTACAGAACTGGAATCCAATGGTCAGAGAGTTGTCGGCCTAGGCAAACTCAATCAGTATGGC